ATCGTCCTCATCGACATCTTCCTCCTCATCATCACCATCGGTTGAATCTTTCCCATCTTCTTCGTCATCGACTTCATCCCCATCATTGTCTTCTTCCTCGACGTCTTCACCATCTTCTTCTTCCTCGACATCTTCACCATCTTCTTCTTCCTCGACACCATCTTCAACTTTCTCTTCCTCTCGATTTTCCGAACCTCCATCTCTTACTACTCTTTCTTCTACATTCCCCGATTCATCCCGGCTCGCTTCCTCTGTTGCTTGTTCATCGACTACCGGCACATCGTCACCATCTTCTTCTTCCTCAACACCATCTTCGACTTTCTCTTCCTCTCGATTTTCCGAACCTCCATCTCCTACTACCCTTTCTTCTACATTCCCCGATTCATCCCGATCCGCTTCCTCCGTTGCTTGTTCTTCGACTACCGGCGGAAGTGGATCCTACGGAGGAGCATCCTTCTCCTTTTTCCCATTTTTCTTCTGCGGCGGCGGCTTACCATGGCTTATTTTCACCATTGCTCACGATTTCTTCACGATTTCTTCTCCATCTAACGACTGAATTTGAAAGAGAGGAGAATCGTTTAACGAAAACGGAAACGAAATGGTAGGGTTTCGGATTTACCCTAATTTTATTTCGATTTTGTTTTTACCCGGATATAGATCTGACGGGCTGACAATCGGGTGGATCCAGTGTTTGGGTCGGAAACGGATCGCTGGTTTTTTGGTCATTTCATACGTTTTCGCTTACAAAAAAAACAAAAAAAACCAATCGAACCGGAGCCTTTCAGATTTTAGTGGCCCAACCGGAGTGTTTTAGACATTCTTCATGTGTTCTACCATCTCTGATTACACTTTAAGCAATAATAAACGCACTCTTGTTGGCTAAAGGGTTTTCGTATATCACACTCCAATCTATGTGATTCTCCGAAGAGAAATTGCATGTAATAGCCATAAAAACATTATATATAATAGAATCCCTAACCATTTAATCTACATACACTACACTAGT